TGCCACTTCAAAGAGAACATTGGCGTGAGCCGAAAGCAAACGGGGCCTTGCAGTCGAGTGTAGCCCATCTGGGCCGTCATCTATCAGCATGACTGGACCTTTGCAGCCGCTGGGAATCCCATAAGAGAAGGCCCGAAATCCTCCGGCATGATACTGCACTTCCGAGATTATGTTGCTAGTAACATGTGGAGTCCAGGGGACGAAGGAATTTGTCAAGAGTAGTCCCGAAATGGAAACCTCTCACGAAGCTCAAAATCAGCCACATGGCATTTTGACTCACAGCCCGCGCGTATGATGCTTTTGTGGTCGTTTGACCGTACTTGTTCTTGCTGTCTCTGCCATCGACGTACAGTCGAGGAAGTTATTTCCATGGGTCCAGCCCGTCCGTCAATGTTGGGTGGCAGTGAAGCTAGTCAAGGACAGAATAACCTTAGTGGTCATTGTTTCAAGTGCACTCATGCAAGGTCAAGCTGAGGGTTGAATGGGTGGGGTAAGGCTTCTATCTCATAGGCGGAGCGCCTAGCGGTATGGTTTACTTTTGTCAGCAGCACCACGATGGAAGACAGAAGAAAGGCGGCTGGCGAACGCAACTTGCACCTTGGCGGGCAAAGGGGTGAAATGGAATGTTCGAAGGATTCCCGTTAGCAGGATACATGACATCAGGTGTCAGACCCTGGATCGCCAAGTCTACCAGGGCAGGCGAATGATGGTTGGCTATGAACGGTGCAGGAGTGACCTCCTGGAGCCTGCTAAGGTGGGATGCAGGATGGTGACATCGTCGCCAGGCGTCAGTGAGGTGAAGATTCCTCGGTAACTGCCACCTACGCAAAGCTGCCATTGGTAAGCGACTGCCAAAAGCGTTAACTGGCATGAAGAGGGCATTCCGGTTGTCATCTGCCAACGCATCCTTGAGCAGGTTCAGGTCCGTCAAAACGTACAGAATCGGAGGAAAGTGGCCGGTTGGTGAAGTAGAAGGATGCGCTGGCTCCGCAACTTGGAGACCAACAGAGCAATCGGAGCACGGTGGACTGTTGGCACTATGGCAAATGTCCTCTTAGATGCCTTGTGGTGAGGATATTTTGTCACTCTGCCGTTGGGCTTTCCGATATAGTAACAAACCATATGCGCGATGCATGTACTAGTATGCGGACCGAAATGGCCCTTAATTAATGTATGCAGGCAACCTTAGCGTCGGAGATAAAAATATCATATTAATTGCCGAATATAGTATACAACTCACGTAATATTTTGATTTTGGATTGCCGACTGCCATTAAATTTGCCAACAGCGGCTAATATTAGTAGTCTTTTCTTGGGCCTATGAGCCAATTAGCACTCGAGACGCGTACCAATGTGTTGGGTTTCTACTAGAGCCATAGTCTGAAGGCCCATGCGATGCTATAGACACATGCGAGCAGAAGGAAAATAAACACGAACTAACATTATCTGGTTTAACCGGTCCGACGGTCTCCCAACCTTGTGTAAACGGGAGTTAACCCGTTAGGGGTTCGAGATGTCAAGCATAGGCATGTAAGCACGTTGGACCGTTCACCTGGGGTGCTTAGTATATAATCATTCGACCATCACCAGTGACGGCTGATCACCACCACTCGGGGTTTGACCGTAGCCTCGGTCGCTTTCTCTTAGTTTCACCTTCTTGTCCGTTCCAACAACCACACTAAGAGTGAACTGCGGTAGACCATGGCCGACTTGCACAAAGTTCAAGAGCTGGGTCTGGACGAGGAAACCACCTTCAAGATACTGGAGAGGCTCGAGCACATTAGTCAATTATACAGGACAGGAAAGCCTCTCTTCCCTCGTCATCTGCTCGAAGACCTCAGTCGCCAGATTGACGAAGGGAAGGAAGAAGTGTACATTCCAGACTTCGATGACGTGCCCCAGGTTTACAGCCTTAAAGTCCCCAATTGGTGCTCAGATTTTGCGTAAGCCCTGTCACTGTGCGTGATTCAGGCCAATAAGGCTAACCTACAGAGATAGCAACACCTATCGCATCAACTACCAAAGTATCCACTACCTGGGCTGTCCCACTCCGTTCTGTCCGGAGTTCGTCCTACGCAGCGACCATGCCCCGGTCACTATCGGGTACATGCGCTCCTCAGGCCCAAGTGGAAGCACATTCGAGGCCATTCGCGGAGCTTTCGTCAAACAGCGCCAGATATGGCTGGAGAGTCCTGGTCATCGAAGTTTAGAACACCATCTGACCACTCTTAAGACCACAGCAGATGTTCGGAAGATAGTCTGTTTTGGTCTTGGCTCCCTCGGAAGGCTGTGCGGCTACCACTGTACGCGGGCCCATACGCAACATGCTGCGGTAGAGACAATGGTGGCGTCGTTAGCCAAGAGAGGCCTGAATGGCAGCCAGGAGATCACATGTTATGCGCAGGACCCAGTTTACGACGAGGTCGATCAGGAGTTTCTCAGAAGCATCGGGATCACCCCATTGGAAGACCCAAAAGGATTCCTTGAAGTTGATGAACACACGCTGGTATTTTCCGTTAGTCCCAACGTTCCGGTCAAACAGATCGTTACGGACCTTCAGTGGCCTGCCGCAATGATATGGAACACTGTGGCCCCCTCAGAGAAGGACAAATGCTGGATCAAGCGCATAGAAAAGAATGGAACAGTCAACTGGACATGGTAAGCCATACTGCCCGGCATGAGGAGAGTCTATTAATGTGCTGTTAGCCCCTTTACCACCGATCCTGACTCTGGACGCGTGCGTCGGATGATCAAACATTATGCGCATGCACAGCTCAAAAACGCCGACGAGTACTTCGGGGATGTGACTATTTACATGAAGTGCGAGGAATGAATAACAGTAACTGGCTTAACAGGCAAAGAGCACACCCATGGGTCCTTTTTAACATTAGATCGACCAGTCTGGTGGTAGGATACATTATTTAAGCGTGGGAATGCGACATCTTTTTGATTGCGATACTCTTCGCTCGGATGGTTCTTCCTTTCCATAGTAAAACCACAGGCGCTAGAGTCAGTGCCAGCGCCACAAACGCTAGTAAACTGCTCGCCCACTGATAACCTAGCCGAACATACATTGGCTTGGCTGCTAGTGGCAAGAATGCCGCAAAGATATTCTCTCCGAATGCGACAGCTGCAATAGCACTGGCCGCATATCCGGCATAGGAATCTGTGATATAAATACTAACCGCGGTGACAATGACCATGCTTGCATAGCCGATCAGAGCCAGGGCCACGGCAAGTACAATCCAGTGCGACTGGTAGATACCCCAACCGTACATGAAGAGGCCACCCGCTAGCGCAAGGGCTGTGCTTGGAATGGAAAGATGCAGGATATACTCGGGGATAGGGATTCCAGGACTATCCGGATTGTGTGAAGCACTTCGGGTGTAGACTCGGTTTTGTAGCGTGCATGCGAGGAGGCCAATGACTTGACCAATGCCTATAGCAGCCTGGACTACGCCGTCGGTGTACGATGGCCAGCCATAAGTCTCGCTGAACACAAGCGGGATTGATTGGGTGGAAATGAATACCAGGCCAAATGCAAATGCGGACCATAATGTAAAGGAGGTAATGGTTGGCTCTGTTGTGAGGAGAACAGCTGATCGAGCTATAGTTTCCTTAAACGTTGCCAGGGTCTCGCTATCGTCTGATGACACCACCGGTGAAGCCTCGTTAGGCATAAACTTCACACGAAGTAGCGGGCCTCGGGTTTCCTTCATACAAAACAGAACAACCGGCGCGAATGCGCCGTATATAATCAGCTCAATCCAAAATATCCTGTCTGCTCAGCTGTAAGTCCCCCACTAGGCAAGGGATGCTACTTACCATCGCCACCCTAATGGCTCCACAATAGCCCCCAAAACAGGGCCCATTGTCACCCCGAACAACAAGGTGAATGTATACAAGGTTAAAGGAAAGACCCGCTCTCGATGATGCAAGAACAGGTTCGACGCTATTCCATCTGCGCAATTCTGCAAAGTTCCTCCGAAAGCCCCGGCAATAGCCCGGCAAACGACAAGCGTGGCGAAATTTTGGGCCAAGGCCTGTGGGATTAGAAAAATCGTGAAGAGACCATATGCCACCTACAATGCCATTAGCTACTGACACCGAAGCGCATGAACAGGCGGACGATACCAAAAAGCCAAACTTCATGCCATACGTCTCCATTAACGGGAGAGTCGCTAGCGGGACAAATGCCGCCGCAGCGTTCCACGCCGTAACAGCAAAGAAGTTATACTCAAATATTCCATTGGCCAAATGAAATTCGGATGATATTGCGTCGGCCGCGGTGGTGATAGACGTGGCGTTCAACCCGACAATGAAGGTAACCCAGCATGATGTTAGCATGGACATCCATTTCTTCCAACGCGGCCAGTTGAACGGATTATGGGGATGGTGCTCCCAGTGCATCGGAGGCTGGACTGTCATTTGGCAGCGGCATATCTGGCTGAAACGTGCATAATGATTCAAACGGTGACGGTAGCAAGAGAGGTGGGAAAGCTTAGCGCATCCAATTCCACAGCTTAGGATACCCAAGGATTTCCTGAAACGGGATATCCCCAGACCGGTCTGCCATGTTATTGGATTCTCAAGTGGACCTTTGTGTATAACGTGGTGGTGATTGGATGCATTCAAGATCCGTAGTGGATTCTATGAGTAATGGAAACCTGAGTCGAAAAGATCACGGCGGTTCACACCTCAGGCACCAACCAATCTTTCCGCCTAGTCTTTCCTTTTCGGGATTTCCTCTTTGTATTGCGAAGAAGCGAGAGAGACACTTCTTCGTTTAAAAATACCCGGCATAAGGTGTCTCAGATAGACTACTCCGTATGAGAAACGTACACCGTAGACTCGTTGTATCTTTGATGTTACATTCGAAATACACGAAACATTCAATATATACAGGACAAATTTGCCCACGTCACTATTTTCTAAATATAAAAGGCCACCGGGATGTCTCAGGAACATCCCGTCTCAACCGCGTCGGCAACTCCCCATGGAGCTCATTGCATCTTCTAGAAACTTACCAGGGTCAACAGAACACGGCGAAACTGATGGTTTGCATCGACATGATCTCTTCTCTCTTTGACGACCACCGCATCACCCATTTGACATAATGCACCCACACACACCAGGAATTACCGCTGGGATTCTAAACCAAGATTGACTTGGTCTAACATGTGTACAGTATAGTTGACAGCTGAGCCCTGGAACAGGCGCGCGCATCGGGAGGATGTCGATCAGTGAAGGAACATCTACGCGCCAAGTCACTACACCAGATCTCCCTCCAAGAAAAACGCGAGGCGGCAAAGTCCCCTGGAAAATAAACTTTACTACTTCAGTTCGTGAAAGTGAGGTAGCAGGGCTGCTCCGATAGTATACTCTTTGGCTTGAAGGGTCCACTCCACTAGGTATCTCACCAGAATCCGCACCGTATCGCAACCGTGGAAATAGAATGGTGATAATCAATACTAAACTACAAGTAACTCTGGGTAAGGATTTTTCTTCTCTTTATTGGGTTTGTTTCTGCTATTTTTCATTTCATTTTTCTTTGTCTATTTTGGTGCGAGTTACGCAGTCAAGTAATATAGATCGCCAAAGATGGGGGATATTATTGGAGAGGGTAAAGCAAATATATATTGTACTGCCTCTATAGATAGAATACACCATACTCCGTACAAATCTACGCTTTAATTAGGTTATGCCAGAGCTTGATTACATTTTTACCATCACAGACTAGAATTGCACGAATATTTGGAAGCGTAAACTTGAATATTGATTAAAGATACTACTACATACCGCGAACATTGCGCTGGACGGTCTACTAGTAGGTGGGCGCGTAAATGGTCGAGTGTAAACATGACTTAGTCAGCAGAGCACAGGAGGAAAGGCAACGTATACTGTCTCAATAATTAATATACATTTGATATATATAATATTTAATTTATATATATATATATATATATATATATCATGACCTCCTGAGGCCTGGATAGATGCTTCTATAAATTCTAGAATCCAAACAAATGACGTCATACTGGAAGACGCGGAAGACTCCGACTGTGAGCAAGAAAAACTTGACCGGATCCCAGGCCAAGAAGCCGAGACTGGCAGTGGTGGGGAAACCCAGAGGGCTTGTCCTCCGCCCGAAACACTCCGAATGCAAGCTTATGTCTACCTATATCGCAAGCCCACTTCCAAAGTCAACAATTTTGACTCGCAATTATCATGGTGCTAATTTTGCGAGCGGGGCTAAGGAATTCAACCCTGACGATCGGTCGGTACTGTCAGAGCTTCAGACTGGGATTGTTTTGAAGAGCGAAAGTCTGCCAACCGCGTGCCGGTGGGGAGGTTTCCAATTTTGAGCACTTGACCCGCTCGAGGCTCTTGATCATCGATCAAACTTCTCTACAGAGTACTATGTAGACATCTACCCGGACATTTGCAGATCACGGATTGTCACTGATTGCCAGCTTCCGATACGAGGGACAACGCGATACTCAGCCTCTCTTTTGGCCACATCTCATCCACAATTAGGACACCAGATGTACCTGTCCTGACCCGCAACTTCGAGGGTTACGTCAGGTGCAGAGTTTGCAAGACAATGAATCGTAATGTTTCAATATCATAGGTTAGGTGTCAGCCGCCACCAAACGGGGACCCAGATACCTATCACGCATGGGAAGTGGGGAGTGCAAAGACTTGGATCCACACCGAACCGTTGCTTGTTTCAGAGAGGGCCATTCGGAGCAACCCAAGGAACAAAATGCAGAAAATTTCTTTTTGCTCTTCTCACCGTGGTTTGATACGAACTTTAGCACAAGGCAAAGGGTCGGACCAACCGGAGAGGATGGCATTGGTTCTTCCAAAAGGATGCCTAGTCTCCACCTGCATCGTCATCACAAACCCTCGCAGCACCATGCATTGATATCTAGGGTTCTTTCGATCGTTGGAGTGGTCGTGTTTCGGGTCTTAAATCTAGGGCCACTCCAGATAAGGTATCATATCGTCCAATCATGTCATATTGTTTCTTAATATAGGCACACGGGTCCCGTTATCGATCGGCACCTTGTTCGAGTATGGCCCTCCTCACACACTGTCGGGTTCCGCTGGCGCTACCTCAACATTTTTTTTTTTTTTTTAAATGGAAATTCCGAAGCAAACAGACTCCACCGGGCGCACTACACATCTCGTCTCTTCCGGATCCTGTGGATCGGGACCGGGGTGGATGGCAAACCGTCAAAGTTGCCGCCACTTCTTCGCGCTCTTGCGGCGTCACGCCATATGGGAGAACCTCCTAATCATGGAAAGCCTGCGTTCCAGCGATAGTCAACAAACTGGTGGCTTGGACTGCAGCATCGGTCGGATCACAGCAATAGCATAGCGGTGATTCCAGCCGTGGGCCTTTAGGGCAGAAACCATGCTGGGATAGGAAACATGCGGTATCAAGTGAGAAACACTGCTACCCCACCACGGGTGAAAAGTAGATAGTGGATGGTTCCATGTCATCTATCAGCAGGCGAGGAGTGGGTCTATAGTAGAAGTTGTAATGGTCGTGGGCGAAGTCCCTGGCCCATTTTTATCCCCAGCCTTCCCGGCCTGATAGTTCCAAGTCTTTTTTACGAAAAGTTCTGCAACTGTTTTTTTCGAGTCGACAGGTCGCTCGTTCCCTCGTTTGCTTTCCCTCGCTTTGAACCACGCCCAGGGCATGTAGGATTTATTCTGTCTGCGATTATCGAGAGCTTGAGTCGCGCGCAGTTGTCGGTAGCAGGCCACTGCCGGGATGTTCCTCACGGCGATGCAGCGCTCAGCGATTCTTATCCTGTCGTTACTGAGCGCTACCGCCTTTAGCTGGCCCTACACCGAGTCACTCGTTGACTATAACTTGAACGAAAATAAAACCGCGGAATCGCCGATTGATTATTGGGGAGAGTGGCCGGATCATGAATATCATCCGTCTCCCGATAACTGGCGCTTCCCGATCTATACAATCTTTTTAGACCGCATCGCTAACGGTGATCCGAAGAATGATGATATTAACGGTACCGCCTTTGAACATGTGGTGGGCTCGAATCAAATGCGCCACGGGGGCGATCTGGTTGGTTTAATTGATACGCTGGATTATATTAGGGGCATGGGTTTCAAGGTGTGTTCAATCAACCTATTGTGATCCGATTTTGGTGCTTACCATGGTAGGCCATTTACTTCGCTGGAACGTACCTGATGAACCTTCCCTGGGCCTATGATGGCTACTCCCCGGTTGATACCACTTTGCTCGACATGCACCATGGCACACTCGACGATTGGAGACGGACCATCACCGAGATCCACAAACGAGATATGTATGTGATCATGGATAATACACTGGCAACGTAAGTATAATCCCAGATGTCTCGGATCAGGACAGGTTGACAGGTCTATGCAGGATGAGCAACCTGATTGGCTTCAAAGGACATCTCAACGATTCAGCCGATTTTCGAGCAGATGAATATGAAGTCCAGTGGATCTCAGATAGACAGTACGCCGACTTCAAATTCGGAAATGAGTACAATGAAACTTGCCAGTTCCCGAAGTTCTGGAATGAGACTGGTTATCCATTGACATCAGGTGGTGTTGAGGAGCTGAAAGGGTGCTATAATAGCGATTTCGATCAATTTGGTGAACTGGAGGCGTTCGGTAACTTTCCCGACTGGAAGCGCCAGCTTACCAAGTTCGCCTCGGTGCAAGATCGTCTGCGTGAATGGCACAAGCCTATCCGTGATGTCATCACCAGGCATTCTTGTATTCAGATTGCTAGTCTAGATATTGATGGTTTTCGTTTCGATAAGGCCGTCCAGACAACCCTCGAGCCGCTAAGTGAAATAACTGCCGTCTACCGTGAATGTGCAAAGAAATATGGCAAGCATAATTTCTTCCTTCCCGGCGAGATCACATCAGGAAATACCTTTGGCAGTCTTTACCTTGGACGTGGTCGTCAACCCGATCAGCAACCCGAGTCGGCAGATGCTGGTGCTAAGCTGAAAAATAGTTCGGATGGATATTTTCTGAGAGACGATGGATACCAGGCGTTGGACTCAGCCGCGTTTCACTACACGATCTACCGTTCGATGACCCGTTTCTTGGGAATGGATGGTAATCTAGTGGCTGGCTTTGACTTGCCCACTGATTTTATCGAGGCCTGGAATGGGATGCTTGTGAGCAACGACTTCCTGAATGCATACACGGGCGAAGTAGACCCGAGGCACATGTTTGGTGTCTCTAACCAGGACAACTTTCGCTGGCCAGCAATCAAGAATGGTACCGAGAAATACCTTCTGGGTCTTTACATCGTCACCCTCGAGCTCCCTGGAATTCCTCTGATCTTGTGGGGTGAAGAGCAGGCGATGTATGTTTTCGAATCCACTGCCTCTAATTACCTGTTCGGCCGGCAGCCAATGACGTATCAGACTGCATGGTGGACGCATGGCTGCATGACTCTGAACACATCCAAATTCTACGATTTCCCTAATGAGAAGGGACTACACGGCTGCGAGGATATCACCGTTACGTATGATCAGCGGAACCCAGCACACCCGCTGCGCAATATCATGAAGCGCATGTTCGAGATTCGGGAGCAGTACCCGGTAGCAAATGATGGGTTTTATCTTCAGACTCTTTCCCAGCTGACTAAGGATCTGTACCTTCCTGGTTCAACGGACACTCCGACTGTAACTGGTCTCTGGTCGGTTCTGCGGAGCTACATCCCAGGCGTCCAGAAGGAGGCAAGCAAGAACAGTCAGAACCTTTGGCTTGTGTATCATAATGCTAACAAAACCGAAACCTACGGTGGTGACTGCAAAAAGAAAGATACTGCCTTGCTGTCGCCCTTCAAGTCGGGAACGAAGCTGAAGAATCTCTTCTACCCTTACGATGAGCTCACTTTAGAAGATGGTCCGGGCGAAGTCGCAGTACACAACAGCACCGAGACCTATGGATGTATTCGCAGTATGAAATTACTTCCATGGGAATACCGGGCTTATGTGGAGGCTGAAAACTTCGTGGAGCCCGGCCCGACTGTCACTGAATTCGTTCCAGGCCACGACGCCCGATTGTTGTCCACGGACGACAGTGGCCAAACAGTTGACATCCAGCTCGGATATTCAAAAGAGATGGACTGTGACAAGATCGCCGATGCGATCTCTCTGAACTCAACGACAGTGAAGGGAGTCACAGCGTCCCTTGACAAATCTAGCGTTTCTTGCAACAAAATCTCCGCAAGGACAAGCAATGATAATTTTGTCGGGGAGGTCCCAACCGTATGGACGTGGTCCGCCAAGCTGAAAAATATCCACCATGGAATCCATCAGCTGACGGTTAAGAACGTTTCTACAACGTCTGGAGTTCACACCGATGCGGTTGACCAGTTTTTGTTCCGTGTCGGAAGTCAAAATAATCCCCTTTTATCCCCACTGGCCAATTATTCCACCAGCCTTGTGCAGAAATCTGACAACGGCAGCTTCTATATCCAGCATGATGCCGCTGGAGCTGACAAATACCGCTACTCGACTGATTTTGGCCTTAACTGGTCCAACTGGACAACGTATACTGGCGACAACACTCTAGTCGACTTCCCAGAGTGGACCGGGACAGACGCTCAGAAGTGGAAAGGAACTCATATCCGCGTACAGTACTTTTCAAGGCTCACTGGTAGTAGTGATTACATCCAGGAAGGTGATCACGGCTGGGAGAAAGGTGCTGCTCGTAGATTCCCCAATCTCTTTTGGAACGGTCCGTTCAATCAATACGGTTACGATGCGGGATTGGATAACAAGATGAGATACGATGCAAAGGAACACCGTTGGAAGTACGATTTCGTCTACGAGTGGCCGGCCATAGGACAGATGAGCGTCTGGGGAATGTTAAAGGATGGGCGGCCCGACGTTACAGAGGTCTATGGTGATGTCGATAACTCATCTGTAGTACAGAAACTTCCTCCGTCTTACCTTTCGTCTAACGTGATCAATATCACGAAGTTACCCCCATTCCCGCACCTCGGCTGGACCATCACGCTCAATGACGCCAACTTGAGATATGAGATGCTTCCGGTTGGATCGGGATGGGCTCAGCTCGTGCTATACATTCTTCTCTGGGTCCTCCCAATTCTCATGGGATTTGCTGGTATCTTTATCTTCATAAGGACATTTTACCGCGTTAAACTCAATACCGATGGCGACGTGGCCAAAGAAGATAAGCTGCCGCTTCTGTTTTGGCGGAGGGTCAGAGAAAAGTTCTCCGGCGATGACGAGTCGGATAAGTCGATATCGGATAAGGGCATACCGACAGACATTGCTATCGCAGGAGCCCCTGAGCAACGACGTACGGTGTTGATCGCCACCATGGAATACAACATCGAAGACTGGAAGGTCAAGGTGAAGATCGGCGGTCTAGGTGTCATGGCACAGCTCATGTCTCAGCATCTGAAGCATCAAAACCTTATCTGGGTTGTTCCTTGTGTTGGTGACATTGAATATCCCCAGGATACACCATCCGAGCCTTTCGTGGTCACGATCCTAGACAAGCCCTATTTTATCAATGTGCAATATCACATGGTTGATAACATCACCTATGTTCTGCTCGATGCTCCAGTTTTCCGACAACAGACCAAAGCAGAGCCATATCCTCCGCGCATGGATGATCTTGACAGTGCAATCTACTATTCGGCATGGAATCAATGTATCGCGGAGACGATCAAGCGATTCCCTTCGATCGATCTCTATCATATCAACGATTTCCATGGTTGTTTAGCACCGCTGTATTTGCTGCCCACGCGTACCATCCCAGTGTGCCTTTCTTTGCATAATGCCGAATTCCAGGGCCTCTGGCCCCTGAGAAACCCCCAGGAGAAGAAGGAAGTTTGTTCGGTCTTCAACCTCCCCGTCGAAACTGCGACCAAGTATAGTCAATTTGGAAACGTGTTCAACCTGCTTCACACCGGTGCTAGCTATGTGCGATTCTACCAACGCGGCTTTGGCGCAGTAGGTGTGTCCAAGAAGTATGGAAAGCGCTCATGGGCTAGATACCCAATTTTTTGGAGTCTTGAAAAGATTGGCAGTCTTCCAAACCCAGATCCGTCCGACACAGGGGATATAGCAAATAACCCAGACGCCGAAGTCCCTACCCAGTCCTACGAAGAACGAATCAATGACAAGCTACAGGCACAGAAGTGGGCTGGTCTGAATGAAGATCGCAACGCTGACCTACTAGTGTTTGTTGGACGATGGTCGAAGCAGAAGGGAGTGGATTTGATTGCAGATGTCATGCCAGCCGTATTATCTGCGAGACCCCACGTACAACTGATCTGCGTTGGACCTATCGTCGATCTTTATGGTAGGTTGGCTGCTACAAAGCTGGAGCGCATCATGGAAATGTTCCCTGGCCGCGTATTCTCAAAGCCAGAGTTCACCGTTCTGCCCCCATACGTATTTTCTGGTGCCGACTTTGCCCTGATTCCCTCCAGAGACGAGCCTTTTGGGTTGGTTGCTGTGGAATTTGGTCGTAAGGGTGCACTGGGAATTGGGTCTCGCATCGGAGGTTTAGGCCAGATGCCAGGTTGGTGGTACACTGTGGAGTCCGACGCAACCCGCCATCTTCTGCATCAGCTGAAGACTGCTATCAAACAAGCTTTGGACTCGTCACAACAGGCTCGAGAGGAGATGCGCGCCAATTCCGTCAGGCAACATTTCCCTGTTCTTGAATGGATCCAGAAACTCGAGGCTTTACAGCGAACAGCAATCCAAATCCATCATACGAAGAACAAGAACACCGTGACAGGCCCGGTGCCAGAGTCACAGAACTACTGGGAGACTCAAAGTATGCGGATGTCTACGCTGGGCCTTCCAGGACCTACCCAGTCGATGACAGAGGGGTTGGATACACCACCAGGAAGGCTTTTGTCCCCCGGCCAGTCTCGATTTACAGAACTGCAATTGGAGGGAGCTGATGGCAACAGAAACAGTAGCCTGGGTCGCAAACTCTCGCTTGGTCGGCGATCTGGACCTGGTCAGGGCAGAAAACGCCTCGGCAAGAGCCCACCGCGCGAGAGCCAGATACTCGGCGAGGAGTTGGAAGGTGAGAACACGGATGCCGATGAAGAAGGCACCGCTACGCCGCAGGTGAACTATATTTCGCCTGAAGAGGCTATGGCTGCGGTTAACAACACGCTGGGAACCCAAGATATCGGAACAGCCCACACGAACAACAGTACTCACTCACTCGCTGGTCCTCAAGGGTCTTCTTACATGTCAGTACCAGGCTCACCGAACATGTCGCGGGCTTCCTCTCCCATGCCAGGAACCCCGGGACTGCCTCAATACCCATTCCAGTTTGCATTGGGGTCTGGCGGAAATACCCCTTTCGCTCACTCCCGCAATGTCTCTATGCTTTCCTTGCCTTCAGTCGTGGCGGACCACAACCAGCCCGTTTTCGAGCTGCAAAAGGTTGATCCTACCTTTACAGACAGCACACGCCACTTCACGAGACGCTTCGAAGAGATCCTGAACAACCTGAACAAGAAGAACTCAATGACAGACTGCTGTATTGAGACGTACCTGATGAAGAGCGAGCGTAAATTCTATGACATGTACAATGATGCACAGCTGAAGAAACAGCCGGATGATCGTGCAGTGTCTGAGACGAATTCGGACACTCAATATAACCGTGCCTCGTACGCTACTGTTACTGGAGGTTCGGACTCGAATGATCCAGATGAGATCGATCAATGGCTCTCTCGTTTGGGGTACAAGCGACCGATGGCTATCCAGAGATTCATGAGACGGCGTCTTGGCAAATGGCCTGTCTATGCTCTATTCTTGGGTCTTGGACAAATCATCGCGACCAACTCTGCTCAAATGACCCTATTAGTCGGCCAAGTAGGAGAAACAGCAACTAAGTTGTATATTATTGCAACGGTCTACTGTATCTCCTCTGTCTGTTGGTGGCTCCTCTTTTACCGGTTCCCGTCAGTAATCGTCCTCACTCTCCCCTGGTTCATATACTGTATGGCATTCATCATCATTGGAGTCTCTCCATTCGCTCTTACATCTCTCGGTCGAGCTTGGGCCCAGAACGTCGCTGCAGGTGTCTATTCTGCCGCGTCGTCTAGTGGCTCGCTCTTCTTCGCCCTTAACTTCGGTGACCAGGGTGCCGTCCCTATAAAGGACTGGATGTTCCGCGCAAGTCTCATCCAAGGAATTCAACAGCTCTACACTGTCGCCCTATGGTATTGGAGTTCGAAGGTGAGCGAGGCAGAAGTGGGAGGCGTGTCTACAGCTGCCCTGAACTCATGGAAACTCACAGCTGTGGTGATGCCCATTGCCGCCGTATGTTTCATAGTCGGCGTGCTCCTCGCGCTCGGCCTACCAAAATACTACCGTCAATCCCCCGGTAGGATTCTCTTCTTCTATACATCCCTATTCCGCCGCCGTATCGTGCTCTGGTTCTTCTTCATGGTAATCGTCCAGAACTGGTTCCTCTCCGCAGAATTCGGTCGCAACTGGTCGTTCCTCTGGTCCTCCCAACACGCCAAGGCATGGGAGGTCCTCATACTGGTCCTCTTCTTCTTTGTCGTCCTCTGGGTCATAATCCTTATCATCTTCCGCGCCCTGTCTAAGGAACACAGCTGGATTCTACCTGTCTTCGGCCTGAGTCTCGGCGCACCGCGCTGGGCCCAGACGTGGTGGGGAACGTCCAATATAGGCTACTACCTGCCATGGGCAGGAAGTCTGACATCCGGTGCTCTGGTGTCGAGATGTGTCTGGCTCTGGCTCGGTGTCCTCGACGAAATCCAGCAAGTCGGTCTTGGTATGATCCTCCTGCAGACCCTGACAAGAGTCCACGTTTGCTTCGTCCTTTTGGCCGCACAGGCTCTCGGATCGATCGCTACAATCTGCGCCCGTGGATTCGCGCCGAATAAGCTCGGTCCCGCGAGTATCTCTCCGAACGTGGGAACGTCTCTAGATACAGTTGGAAATGCGTGGTTTTGGATCGCGCTGTTCTTCCAGCTTTTGGCTAGGTAAGGCTTCTGAAATTGCCCTCGCTCTTATTGGTATTAATGCTAATGCGATATATAGTTGGGGCTTCCTTCTGTTCTATCGTCGCGAACAACTTAATCGCCCTTAAGGCTTGCTTGTGGTTCGAATTAGAGATCAATCTTCGAGTACTTTATCCATGATCTCCGGCTAGATACGAATCTACCATCTCTTTATGGGCGGGATCTCACTTCCCTCCTGTTGTTATCAGCATTGCAGGTGTTCGTTCGGGAGCGAATACTTGACATCTTAATGGGTTTATGTATATTTTTGATGCTGTGTTTAGAGGTACATATATAGATTTTTAAGAAGATAATACTCTTAATATTAAACTGTATCTGTTAATCAAATAAACTACCACAATTAACCCATATGTCATTATAGTATCGAGGCTTGATATAAAATTGTGATTGTTACTACGAAAAAAAGGCAAAGCTGGCCCTCGCATGATCCACCAGAACGTATCGAATGCCTTCTATCTCAACCTTTCACAGCCACCGCAATTGCAACAGCTGCCTTGCTTGAATGGCTGATACTTACTTCAATATTCTGTATACCTTTGTCCCGAGCGATGTCTTTGACCTGCCCATAAAGCTGAAAACTGTCAGTACGTTCGCATCGAGGAGGAGATCAAAAGACATACGGTGACTTTAGGGATGCCACAGTGGTTGAGTACCTCAATCTCGTGCATCGCAGTCCCGGGTCCCGAGGACGAAGCATGAAGGCTTTTGAATACGGCCTCCTTGGCACTCCACTGTCCTGCAAAAGAGGCTTGAGGATTGGGCGACTTCAAACAGAACTCACGTTCAGCCAGAGTGAAGTTACGCTGTAGGAATGTCTCATTCTCCATATTAATGCTGGTAATTTCTTCCACATCGACTCCCACACTTGGGGGTGATGTTCCTTTCGATCTGGCGACTGCTTCTACGAGCATTTTCTCAACAAGGCAAGATAGAGTTTTTCCTTCATCCTCATTCTCGACTGTCTGTGAATTGCAATCAGTGGTAGCATTGATCGGATCAGACGGGTCTGCAAGTGCGCCATTATTAGGCCGCAACTGGTCGTCTTGCCGACAACTGCTTGGGTCCAGGAAGACCTTTTCCGTCCCATCTTCGTTCCCCCATGGCGGAAGGTTCTTTATTTGTACGATGCAGTTGTTCAGTATCCGGGAGACAAAATTTGGACTAGCAGCTCGCTGTCGCTGTGTCGCTAGCATGCTATATTCTTCATACATTGGCGCAGAAATGGATGCAAAGAGGTAGCTAGGTGCTACCATAATGGCGATGGCACCTTTCTGCCCGAAGCCAAAGGAGGTTACCATGGTCGCTTTAATTCCTGTTGTTTTGATTGACTCCATGGGGTATACCAAATGCTCAAATTGTCGCAATTGGTCATCGATGTTGTCTGCGTTTCGATTTCCTGGGACGATTCCCTCTTGTAAGATCTGCATGCAGCCATTCAGCTGCCACGCACCTGCCGCTGCCTTCGGATGCCCGGTTAGTGACTTTTGACATACACAGAGGAGTGGATTGCCTTTGTGACGACCCAGATGCTCCATTTGGGTGTTAATAACTTCTCCTTCGTTGACATCGTTTGCCTTGGTTGATGTTCCATGCATCGAGACGACACCAATATCGTCAACTCCTAGGCCCCAAGTAGCTAAGGCTGCCCTAAGTGGAGATATTGATGGGTCCTGTAGGCGAATGTTGTGAGCCCAGCGCCATTGGGCGTCTCCGACCTTCAGTCTCCTGGATTGTTCTGCTACTCGCCAGATGGCGCCTGAACTCTGCATTCTACCCAGCCGTCCACCGATGGACTTTTGCTCAACATCCGCCACCTCCTCATCGAAGCTTGCGCGGCGAAAATCAAAGTCTAAGAGTGGGGAGACTTTCGCCTCATTATTCTCGCGTGCGACAGTTAGAATGCCCTTTCCAGGAGCGGGGATGGAGCGGCCGACCTGGTCACTAGCCATCTGGCTATAGGCGACAATCCCGTGGATCGGTGAGCCCAGCTTGAGGGCCAGTTCCGCATTCATTAAGAGCTGCACACCGCAACCGGCGGATTCAGCGAAACCACTGCGTGAGCTGGCTGTTGGACGAGATATCTCGCTGGGAAGCCTTCCTCTAGCCAGCTCCTCTGCACAGTTGGCTGTAGCTTTGATATTATCAAACTCAAAGGACAGTTCCTCACGATAGTCATCACAGCCACCGACTATGGCTACCTTGCACTTGCCCGATGAAATAGCATCGCAGCCAATATCAAGAGATTCGAGGGCGGTAGCACATGCGCCGACCGGAGTTTTAAGGGGGCCCGAAGCAGACAATAGCAACATGTTCACCCATGCACCCATTGTATTAAGAAAGTGTTCCAGTATGATATCGCCCCGTACTTGACGATCAAGAAACCGATCACGATACATATCCTGAATGACTTTCATGGGCCCGCCTCCGGTACCCAAACAGTTCGCTAACTCGGAAACATGAATGTGTTGGTATATATCGTAAGGATCATTAATACCAGCAGATAGAAAGGCTTCTGAGACACAACAAAGCGCATATAGTGTCGTTTTATCGACCTGTTGTATGATCTCTTCAGGAATGCCATAACGTAAAGCGTCCCAGCCAGTAGGGACTACCCCGGCCACGGATTGATGGAAAGGAATAGTTTTAGCAATCATTAGAACTGCGCCCTTCTTGAGAAACACATGATAGTTGTCAGAACCTGGAATTGGTTGCAACATGATATTGTTGCCATGCCGTAGTTTGAAGGCTTCTGCGGATGATTTCGAGCACTCAAATGGCGGAAGGTCCTCTTCAACAGCCACTTCCTGCAGGAACTCCTTCTGAGAAGGGATATAAGTGTCAACGCCATGCGGCTCAATAAGACGTAGGCCGGTGTTTGACAATATGTGTTTATGGTATCTCTGGGGAATGTCGTGATCATGTATTGGCTCCTGTGTCCCTGCATCGACCCAGCCAACGTAGGGCCGCCCTTTCCAATCTCCATCAACGTGTTTTATTAACCCCATTATCCACGCTATCTCTACATAGCCTTCCAAACTAAACCGGCCTTTGTGCTCCATCTCCCAGCGAGTGCGCGAATTTCCCCAGGGCCCTAACTCAGAAAAGCCTACCACGACGACCGTACGCGAGAGATCTATCATCCCTTTAAGATTGGGCAATCTCACAGTCAAGTCCTCATAGGGTTGCAGGAAAGGGAATGAAAGTTTGATACGGGCACGGGGTTTGCTGATGCTCACCCCAGAATCTCTTGACTGTTGCTGTTGTGGTCCGAAGAGCACCGAAAGGTGACGGGCGTCTTCCTCTTGCAGGGCCTTTCGTATCTGTGATTCTTCGTCAAGCCGCTTACGGCTTGCTGATATATGATCTTTGATATCCCGCATTAAGCCCAAACCTCCAGTAAGATCCGCATAGACTGGAGCTTGTTCAGCAAGTGTAGTAATATGAGGTGCCATCAAAGCTAGGATGTTGAATGCCATTTCAGCTTGGCTGAACGTAATGACACCCAGCTTTTCCACTTCTTCTGCTATAAGATTGGATGAGTGCATAAGGCCAGTTCCTCTTGTCCAACCTATGACTGCTCCACAGATTGTGACATAACTTGACCAGCTTTCAGAATGGAATCGGCTCATGAGCGTCTTTAGACCAGCCTTTGACTCTGCATATAGGCCGTCGCCGCCAAAGGAGCCCTCGTTACATGACATAGGCAGGACAATAGTCGTTGGCCGGCAGATAATACGTCGTTTCTCCTTCTGTTTCCGAATAAGTCCGACGATCCGTAGGATATTGACCAGCATAGCCCTAAGTGCTAGCTCCTGATGACTTCCCAGTTTATCCAACTCACCCGCTTGGGGAACAGCAGCAAAAGGTATAACATAGTCCAGGTCGCCGCCTATAGGGGAATCAGCACTATATATGTACTCAATCAAGTATTCACAGTCCCGTTTGCTCGCCTGGTTCATTGGAACGACCATCAAGGACGCTCCTCTGGCGCCATAGTGACGGTACATCTTTTGATAAAAGCTTGCACTCTCAGAGATTGCTCGACTTGTGGTGACAACTACACGAGCGCCACCGCACAAAAGGCCCTGGACTACCTGTGCCCCAATCGAGTCAGGGCCAGCACCTGTTACTAAAACAGTCTTACCGGCATAGCTTAAGCCAGTGGTAGTTCCGGCGCCGAGAACTCCATGCAGGATCCTGGTTGCATCCGCGTCGTATTTCCAGCCACCCTCGCTCCTTCTAGATTTAATATGCACAAAAGGTATCTTTGTTCTGAGGTCATCGGCGCATAAACGTCCTTGGTATACAACGTCCGGATAGGAAGAAACTTCCCGGGCCATCTCCATATACCCCAGTTGACCTGAGCTGCTAATGGTGGTTTTCGGGCCCAAGGCCGGAAAAGAATAAATGTAGACGGGTTCACTCGCTAAAGCCAGGTTTCCTAGACGGAGAACCTCCTTTAACACAAGTCGAATATCAGAACATGAGGATATCAACTGCTTTTGATATTTGACAGGATAAGGCGACTTGATAATAGCCTCGATAATATCGTTACAGCTTGGATCCCAGCGGTTCAGCATCCTGCGCAGGTGGCTGCCTTGCCTTAGAAGAGCTACATCTACCGGGTCTGAAGCAGCCTTGTGTAACCATTGGATAAGCTCTTCTCTGGCCCAGTTCCACCAAGAGTCGTAGTTCCGAGCCTGGCTGATATCAAAAATCGACTTTATACCTTCAGAAAAATGGCTATCGAATTCAGCATTCCATCTCTCTAACGTTTCTTGATATGTCGTATCTAGCGGCGGTTGTCCTGAAGCGCTGAGGTCTATCTCCAGATACTTCGCAAGTATATCAAAATGCTTACGGTAGTAGGTTCGCTGCTGCTCATGAACGATCGGACGACCGGAGGAGCCTACAGCTGATGATGGCATTACTTCGCTCTGGTCAACATATTGACCATCGGCAGGAGCCAGAGAAATCCCTTGAAACAGCGCGTACCGGCAGATTAACTCATCAAGATACGCTTGTGCAGCATCTGCATTTGCCAAACGCGCGATTGGCTCGATAGTAATCGCAAGACAGATGGGGACGAGGGAGTGAGCCTTGGAGAAGCCCCAGCGAGAGCATATGTAATCCTGCATGGAGATTTGGTTAAATCCAGCGGGCATTTTCCTTGATATTAACATGGCGATTAGAGTCGCCATGTGTTTGGCTGGCTTTCCAACAAAAGTGCCTTGCAACGCTTGTCCCAGTGCAATCAAGGTCATATCTTCAACACCCTCCGGCACCCTGCCGAATTCAGCTACCAGGTCTCCTACCAGCTCATTTTGTAATGTGGATTTTCCTAAATAATTAGCTCCAGTTCATGAATTAAACGGACACATCCATACCGCCGGATAATTCGCGGATAGTCTTTCCCATGGTAACTTTATCGAACGGTCGTCGTAGCTTTTGAGCTGTCATGGCAAGAGCAATATGGCTACTTGATAGGGATACGTCATGGCTGGGCGAAGCCCTCGAGGTAGGCGCTTTAGGTGGAACGCATTGTTGTGTGTCTCGCAGAGAGCCAGGAGGCAACAAAGATATATCGTGTGAAGTCAATGATATCGCTTTGTCTTTCTGGTCCATCTGTGCCTTAGCGTCTGGGTAATTGTAGAAAATTTCATCATTGTTGACTTGATACGAGAGAAACTGTAGGTGCGACCATTGTGAAATTGCGTAAGACTTATAGTGTCTAGCAGCGGATCTTTTAGCCATAGTGGCAAGCGTAGTACGCGGACCAACTTCAACAAAACGGCGTATAGGAGGGCAACCAGTAATCAGTTTATGCTGTGTTTCGATCCTAGGAAATTTAGCTGGCGATGACACATAGAGGCTGGCTAGACTCACCACCGTACAGGAGAGGCTAGTTGATATCTACCCACTTAGTATAATCAGCAAACTAGATCACCAGAGGAACTCACGCGAGCAACTCAATAAGCAATTTAAATGCTAATTGACTTCTATCCATATTCTCATAGTACCCAACTGAGCTCCGGTCCATGATAAAATTCGAGTGCAGGGCCATCGTGAACAGGTCGCCCCATAAGGCTAGTCTTAATTAGCCTGCAACCCCTAGATTCACGCGATGAACACGGGCTTTCCAGCGATCATATGACAGACAATAACTGATTTTTCATGCGAGTGACCCTCAAAGCTTAACAATGAGTATTGCTATAAGGCATACTTCAACTGCTCAAGCATATTTGAGCTTCACCTTTGGCCCTCACTCGTAGATATACCTATTCCGATCCGACTGAATCAAACCTAAAGAATGAACAATCGCACAGATAAAGGCAGCAGTGCGGTGTGGGGTGATACAAAGAAAAACTCCGTCTGTGAAACTCCGGCGGCGAGAGCGAGAGCAAGCTATATCAACTGTAGCTTCTCGACTACCGCCGAACTTCATCCACAGATAGGGAGATCTCCGCGCCTCATGGAGTGATTCCAAACTGCAGCCTGTCCATCGATCTAACACACTGGCGAACATGTAGGTATAAAGTGATGAGAATCTGGCCCATTGGAAATTGGCAGCAGGCTGATCTGTTTCAGTATCGCATACATACTATTCGCTTCAATTGACCATATCTTTCCATGTCGTGCACGATCTTCTTTTCTGTACTCCTCTGGTAGGGGAAGGGCGGTGTACATATGGGGTCGATAATACATCGATTGAACATTTATGCTGGCAGATACTCCGCTGAAAAAAGAAGATGGATAAGAGGGTAGAGATGATGGAGGAGGTGACTGTTCCCCTGTCACCTGACTCCGCAGGTACTGCCGCCATGGAGCCTCCGTCGCTGTGCCACCCATCGTCCTCCAGTACCGGCTTCAGCGTGGAGTTTCAGCATAGGGAAATAACTTTTTCTCTCACCATTCCAGGCACCTATTCTGCTCTCCATACCCTACAGCGAGATGCGTTTCTTCGGTCAATATCATTGTCTAGCACCGATGATATAAAACAACCCGTAGAATTGGCGCTAACGTATATTGAGTTCCTCCTTTTTCAGAAAAGGATTGCGGGCGCGGCTCTGGCAGTCGTATTGGAAGCATTTAACATTGAGTTTGTGGGAAGAACAGACATCCATTCTCTTATTGCTGAAATTACGTCGCGATCCGAGCAACGACGGCGGTGGTTACGCATATACTATGATGCAGTTTACCGTGGGTATGAAAACGGACTTGGAGATCATGGCAAGGATGCGGGATTTATTCGAAGTAGCTTTTTCCACAATGTTGAGACGAACCAGTTTCAAGTATTAGCACTGTTTGGAGGCCAGGGGGATGCGAGTCCCACGTGCGTGGAGGAACTTTCGGAACTGTACAGCACATACCAGTCGATGCTCGAGAGCTTTCTGCAAAGAATGGGGTCGAGACTTGCCGAGCTGTGCCGCCTGCCACAGTGTCGGTCATACTATCAGCGACGATATTTGGACATCAGGGCTTGGATGACCGACGCCACTGTGGTCCCGGATAGTGCCTTTGTGGCCAGTGCTCCTGTTAGCGTACCTGTGATTGGATTGTTGAGTCTCGCTCGATACATAGTTACTTGCCAGATATTGGGCATATCCCCCGGGAAGATGCGAACACTGCTTTCTGCTACCGCGGGGCATTCCCAGGGCCTTTTGGTATCAATCATCGTTGCTATATCGGACTCATGGGAGTCACTTTACGATAATAGCAGATTGTTGGTGGATGTCCTGTTCTGGCTAGGATGGGAGTGTCACAATTGCGCGCCTCGAATTGCAATCCCTGCGATGTCTACTAGTCGCGAAGCACATGACGTGGATTCCAGCACACCATCATACATGCTTAGTGTTCGAGGTGCAACACGATGCCAAATTGAGGATATGCTGATCCACATGAACCGTCACTTGCCGCGAGAAGCGCAGTTGTATCTGGCGTTGGCAAATGCTCAAGATCGATTCGTTGTTGCCGGTCCATTTTCATCTTTATTGCATCTTACCAGCTACCTCCAAGAAGTCTGTGCCTCTGGTTCAAATCAGAGTCACATCCCATTCAGCAGCAGAAGGCCGTCTCCCCAGTATAGCTTCCTGCCAATCAGCACACCTTTCCACACGCCATACCTTCGTCCAGCTGCAGATTCTTTGAAAAGCAGGTTTTCAGATAGACGCATCCTCCCCCAGCAACTGGCCATCCCAGTATACGACACCAGGACTGGTCATGATATCCGTGCTTCAGATGGGAACGTCCTGCATTTGGCATTTGATGCTATTGCCCATGAAATTTGCGATTGGCCCTCTACGCTAGGCTGTTCACCCAACATGAGTGCTCGCCAGCTCCCCGTGTCACATATTATTGTCTTCGACCGTGGTGGTCTTGCTTCATTGGTTAAGAAGCTCAAAGAGGGCCAGGGGGTTCGCGTAGTTCAAGGCTCTGACCTGAATTCCCGGGACCCCGAGCTAGGAACCATGAAGGATCTATTCTCTCCCCTGCTACTTGATTCCGCGACCAGACTCCAAACTTGGGGACAGCGCTTCCAACCCCGATTGATCCCAGGGCCGAGAATTAGGATTGAAACACGCCTTACGCGGCTTTTGGGCACCCCTCCAATTATGGTTGCTGGTATGACACCTACCACAGTGCATTGGGACTTCGTTGCAGCCATCATGAATGCAGGGTATCATGCTGAGCTGGCTGGGGGAGGTTACCATAGTGCCGACGGTATGGCTTCAGCCATCGATCAGCTCGTCAAGAATATTTCCGCCGGTCAAGGCATCACCTGTAACCTGATTTACGCCAACCCCCGTGCTATCAGATGGCAGATGACTCTTTTACGTCGCTTATCGCAAGCCGGTATCGCGATCGACGGCTTGACCTTTGGAGCGGGCGTCCCTTCGCTGGAAGTAATTACGGAGTACATTCAGACGCTAAATTTACGACATATCGGTTTTAAGCCCGGATCAGTGGCGGCCATCCGAGATGTGATTAGTATTGCCAGGGCTCACCCAGACTTTCCTGTTATTCTCCAATGGACTGGTGGGCGTGGGGGAGGGCATCACTCCTGCGAAGACTTCCATGCTCCCATACTCAGTATGTACGGACTATTGCGGCAACAGCCAAACATTTATTTGGTCGCTGGCAGTGGGTTCGGTAGCAGCGGCAGTATCTACCCATACCTTACAGGCTCATGGTCAGTCCCGATGGGATATGCGTCTATGCCTTTTGACGGAGTCCTTTTAGGTAGTTGCATGATGGTTGCGAAAGAGGCTCATACAAGCAAGGCTGTTAAGGATGTTATTACGTCGACATCCGGATTAGACGACAATGACTGGGAAAAGACATATGACGGACCTGCCGGGGGAGTAGTTACAGTGAGATCGGAAATGGGTGAGCCAATACACAAGATAGCAACCAGGGGTGTGCGTCTGTGGGCTGAAATGGACAAAACTGTTTTCGGCCTCCCCCGACAAGACCGTGTCGCGTATTTGACTAAACATCGTGCTATGATAATCCATCGCTTGAATGCCGACTTCGCAAAGCCATGGTTTGGTCGCAACTCACAAGGGATTGTACTTGACCTGAAGGAAATGACCTACGCCGAGGTGATGAGTCGGCTTGTGGAACTAATGTATATTCGTCATCAAAAGCGTTGGATCGACTCGTCTTATGTGGATTTCACATACGCATTCACCGTCCGCACCCTGGAACGTTTACCGGCGGACTTGAAACACTCAGAGCCTCTTTCTCGAGCATCACTTGAGCTCAATCCAGCCGGCTTTGTTCGTGCTCTCATCACTGCATGTCCCGCTGCAGCTGCAGAAGTCTTGAATCCGGAAGACGTCTCATTCTTTCTGATGCAAACTATGAAGGATAACCAAAAGCCTGTTAACTTCATACCCGCTCTGAACGACGACTTTGAGTACTATTTCAAGAAGGATTCGTTGTGGCAGTCGGAGGATATTGACGCTGTAATTGATCAGGATCCAGGCCGAATATGCATTCTTCAGGGCCCTGTGGCAGCGCAGTATTCCTGTGATCGGGGAGAATCAGCAAAGGAGATCTTGGATACTTTGCTACATTCTCTTTGTGACTGTCTCCAGCGAGATATGTGTGCGGAGGAATTGACTATCGGGATTGATAGTGGCTTAGTTACACCGGATTCCTGGTCCACAGTCTCTCCTGGCACCAAGGATTTCTTCATGGAGGGAATTTCCACTCCATCTTCCACGACACTCTCCGACTCCAGTGAGGATCCATGTGTGTATTCATTAACATTTCCTTACAGGCCTGATCGAAACGTTCCCGTTTGGGTGCGGGCGGTTCTGGAAGATAGGTTTGTCTTGCAGGGCCGGCTGCGGCGACAGAATCCTTTCCGAGAGTATATGGAAAAGTATCCCGAATCCGCTATTCAGTACAACCCCGGTCGGTCAGAGATATCTGTAGCGGCTCAAGGCAGTATGGGTGTCAAATCCTCAATGATAATCACATGTCAGGATGGGGTGGAGGTTATTGTCGAACTTCATCCTCCATATAAAGCGGACAATTTGCAGCTACTCTACCAATTTGATCCTAGCAGGGCCCCCTTCAGACTGAGCGAGATCATGGAAGGCCGGAACGAGCGCATCAAGTCATTCTATAGTGAGCTCTGGCTTGGTGAGCGCAGAACTAGCTGTATAGATCTACACGGCACTTTTACCGGGCGACCAACAAAGCTTACCCGTGAGCGGTTCGAGGAGTTGGCCTTAACCGTTGGT